TCATAATTTCTACACGTCCGTCCTAATTTACGTTTCCGTACTGTACTACTTTACTATATACCCTTATATCAGATATGTGTACGTACGACGTACGTATGTACGTACGTAACGTGCGCTATGTTATTCCGTGGTAAAAAAGGAACCCAATTTTAGGTTTGAAAATTTCTCAATACGCGAATACCAGAAATGTAATACAGGTTTTACATGATTTTTTCAATCAATAACAATGAAGGCTTATTGGCTAGAGCTGAGGGAGGCGAAGTGAAAGCCTTTCAACTCATACTCTACGAAATTTTTTGGCTGGAGCTGAGGGAGGCGAAGTGAAAACCTTTCAACTCATATTCTACGAAATTTTCGAAAATGTCCGGTTCCCGGTTCAACTGATCCAAATTTTAGGTTGCGTATCCAGAAATTAAACCTAAATTAGGCTCAACGTTTGGATATCGAAATTTTGGTTTAAAATACAATAGCCGATTTTTAACTGTATATTAAATGACTTTTAATAAATGAATAGTTTATTTATTATGTAGAAAATAAGGATTGCCCTGTATTAAACGAGTATCATGGTCATCGGTCTTGATTACTCTTTAACCGTTAATTTCTTTACTAAGTTTCATTGTCTTGATCATATAGTTGGTGGTAGAGGTAGAATTACTGAATTACGGCATTACGGCATTTTACCACGTGGTAGAATTATATTGTAGCCGTAATCATAATGCCGTAATCGTAATGCCATAACCGTAATGCCGTAATGCCATGCCTTACCAAAAGACCTATCCGCCACATCAGATTCTTAATTATGACTGACTAACGATTGTAATCTACAAACTTTGGCCTGCATTACATAATTGTTAGCAGAATTAATTTTTTAACTTTTTTTATTTCCAAAATAGAAATTTTTAGAGAAATAGGTTCACACAATGGTAAAATTAGCCAGGGATTATTTTTAGGGGAAATTACATATAAGAACCCAAAAAATAAAAATAATTGTGGGGGCTGATGCTGAAAATTTTTCATAGTTTATTATAAAATTATAAAATTTTTTAGGGCCTTTTTATTTGTGGTCTTTTTTTTCATAGTTAGGTTAGGGTAGGGAGTAGTATTTTTTAATAAAGAAAGTATACAGTCGAACCTCTCTATAATCACACCCTTGGTTTTAAGAATTTGGTGCTTATAGAGAGTTTGTGCTTATATAGAGGTTAAATTTTATAAGTGCTATATAAGTTGGTTTTAAAAATTTATGTGATTATAAGTAAATGTGACTATAGAGGAGGTGACTATAGAGAGGTCTGACTGTATGTGAATTTTAATAGGTTTTATAGATTTAAAAAGAGACACTAATTTTCAGCATTACCAAGAATAATAAATTGTTACATGGACCGAGTCGAATTGGTCAAATTTAGGGATGGTAAAAAAACGGTTTAAACAGTTTTTAAACTTTTTTTATTGTTTTAAAACTTTTTTTAAAACATCGAAGTCTGAAATAAAATTTACTGAAAATGAAAATATTGCTTCTGATTAATTTTAATTGTCAGCAAAGAAATTTTTTTTAAAAAAAGCGGTGTTAAATGATTTCGAATTTATTATATAATTTATATAAATAAATTTATAAGAAATTTTAAATGTATAAATTTGCCATCAGCCAAATATAATCTTTTATTTGGTATTAGTTTTACGTTTGTAGTATTGAGAGTCGAAGTTTATAGTAATGTAAACCTCATGAAATAAGTTGTTGCGAATAAATTACAGTAATTGAAGATTAGAAGGAATACTATGAAAAAATAATTTATCCTTCTCATGTTAATCCAATAGCATATGTTACTTGAAATAGAATCATGAACTTTCAATAAATCTCATATTTCTTGGAAGGTTTTTAAACGATCAACTGAATCAACAGTCTTCTTCGCAATAATTGTATTTTTGACGCGACATTTTTCTACCATGTCTATTAGATTCAGCAACTTTTGTAAAATTTATACGATTTCTTTTAAAGGTGTCTCCACGAACATGAAACATTGCTTTGAAATTTTTTTTTTTGAATGTTAGTAATCATAAATACTAAATTACGCAATTAGATCAAATTACGTCATAATGTATTAAAACATCTTTTTAACAGATTTAAATCAAACAAACATGATTTTTAAGATCGCGTTTTAAAACATTCGCCATCCCTAGTCAAATTGGTCTGATCGATCCGTGTAACCATACTTTTCGACCAATTTGACCAGACCAATTCGACCAATAACCAATTGACCAATGACCAGCATATTTATAGCCAACCACCACACTGTTCATATATATTTTATTAATATTACTTTTATATAAAAATAAACATTAATATAGTGTTTGCTTAATATTTTTTTTAGCATATTATTGTGATTATCTATTTCCTATACTCACCTAACAGAACCTAACTCTTTTTAATGCCATCAATGCAAATATTATTATGAGAAATAATTTCATTTACACTGGCAGTTATGTTTTCATGTGAATGCTGATTAATATCACTAATAAATTTTGTAGTATGAATTATACTATCCTCAAAATTATCAGCGCCATTATTTCTAATTTCCATTTCTTTATCAGATTTTAAAAATTCAAATAAAATTTCAGGAGTATTTTCCCATTTTAAAATTGTCTCGTAAATTTCTATAGCTGACGGTCGTTTTTCTGGATCTTTATTCCAACATCTTTTCAAAAGACTTGCGTAGCATGGCGTTGTGCCTTTAATAATACAGTAGTTGGTCTCGAACCTTCTCGAATTTCTATTGCCAATCTTAAGTCATCATATTTATAGTCGGAAAAAACAACGTTTCCTGAAGAAATCTCCCACATAATCATTCCAAATGAATAAATATCTGATGCTTCAGTGAATGGTTTTCCTTGCATTACCTCCGGTGCTATATACGGTAAAGCACCATAAATTCCTCTCTTTGTCTAATGTTTTGTTAACCGATGTTGCAAATCCTAAATCTTTGATATACGCATTATTTAAATCATCTTGAAATATATTGCTACTATGTAAATCACAATGAATAATATTACTTAAATGAATCATTTTAAGATCTATGCAATGTAAGATAATAATTCTAATTTTTCTCCCATTTTATTTGTACAATTTTGTAAAGATTCTTACGTAAAGATCCCATTCTTGCATATTGCATAACTAAAATATATTTATCTGTAAATTCATCTCTTGACATTTCATAACGTTGTAAAAATGTGGGATTTTTAGTTCTAATATTTGAATATGCGATTAACTTTAAAATTATAATTATTAATAGATAGGATTTAGGCTTTTGTACTACTGATAGTATATTTAAAAGAATAGGTTAAAAATCAAAAAAATCATTTATCTAAATAATTTTTATATACAAAAATTTGCTAATTGTCAAAATATAGTTTAACAAAATTTTTTTTATCATAATATTAATAATAAAATTTTTAAGAAAAAAATTTTTTTTAACTGTTATTTTTGTAAGTTTTAATGTATTATATATAATACACTGCTAATATTATTTTATTAAAAAATTTTTAATAAAGTTTGTAAATTTAAATTTTAATCATATAAAAATATTTAGAACTTATTATATTTAAAGTTTATTATTAGTTATATTACTGTATAAAAAATATTATTTTAACTATAAAGATTTATAAGCTGTTAGTTGAAAATTATTATTATTTTCCATTAATATTCAAAAAAATATTTTAATATTTTATATAAGATCATTAGTTTTCAACTATAACTTAAAAAAATTAAATAAATTTTACTTAAATTTTCCAGTATTATTATTAAACAAGCTTTTAATTCTAATTTATAAAATTTATTAAAATTAAGTAATATATTAAAAATAATATAAGTTTAAAATTTTAAAAAATTAAACTTAGTTTTTGTAAAATTTACTAATAAAAAGACTAAAAAAAGCCAATTTTTAAAAAATTTTATAAAATTCAAAAAAGTACTTAGAGCTACTAAATTTTTTATATGTGTTGCTTCTATCTATAAGTAGGGTTCTGCATTTGATTTGATTTGATTCAAATATTTGATTTCAAATCAAATTCAAATTTAGATTTTCAAATCAAATCAAATTCAAATTAAAAGATCAAATATTTGATTTGATTTGAAAATATTTATAAATAGTTAAAATTTGAAGAGTTATAGTTTCAGAAGTTATTTTCTCAAAAATTTATTAAGACAATCACCAATTTGGTTTTATGAAACTAGGACTATTTTGATTAGAAGAACATTTTTTATTTAATACATAAAATCGATTAGCTTAATAAAATTTTAAGAAAATCGAAGTTATTCATAAACAGTTAAAATTTAAAAAGTTATAGTTCTGGAGGCTATTTTCTCAAAATTTTATTAAGACAATCACTAATTTGGTTTTATGAAACTAGGGCTATTTTGATTAGATGAACATTTTTTATTTAATATACAGAATCGATTAGCTTAATAAAATTTGTGAAATTCGAAGATATCTATAAACAGCTAAAATTTAAGGAGTTATAGTTCTAGAGGCTATTTTCTCAAAATCTTATTAAGACAATCGCTAATTTGGTTTTATGATACTAGGGCTATTTTGATTAGAAGAACATTTTATATTTAATATACAAATCGATTAGCTTAATAAAATTTAAGAAAATCGAAGATTGTATAAATAGCTAAAATTTTAATTTGATTTGAAGATTTAAAATCAAATAATCAAATCAAATTCAAATCCAGATTTTTTAAATCAAATCAAGATTTTCAAATCAAATCAAATTCAAATAAGTCTAATATTTGATTTTATTTGAGTTTGAGGAAGCCTATCTATAAGATACTTTATATAATAAATATTTAATAGCTTATTAATTTTTGTTAAATTTGTAGATAATTAGCTTTAAGTAGTGTCACAATTGAGTATAAAAGGCTACCAGTAGTACACCTAAATCCTATCCATTAACGATTAAATATTAATGCCGATATGATTAAAATTTAAAAATTTATATTACCTCCTTTAAGAGTTTCTCGCAGCTATTTTTTTTGACCCATTAAACAATTTAAGTGCAACAAGTTGAGGCAAAATGCTACCATCTGTTTTTGTAGATTTCCAAATAGCAGCATGCACAGTTGCAAATCCACCTTTTCCAATGATTCCTCTAAACTTTAATTCACTAAAGGGAATCTATGATATTAATAAATTATTACCAATTAGGCTTTTTCTTAAAGAATCATCAAAATTTTCATAATCAACCGCCTTTTGAAAATTATTATTTTTTGCTTTTTGCAGCCATTCAATAGCTTTTCCTGGTTAGATAATGTTCCATAGCCATTTCGATAACATATTCCAACTTTATATTGTCCATTATAGTAACCATTTTCAGCTAATCTTAAATACCATTCAAATGCCTTTTTTTCATCCTTTGAAGTGCATATGCCGTTCTCATAACAAAATGCGAGTTGCCTTGGATTGTGCAACGGAATGGTCACCTTCAGCAGATTTCAAATACCATTCAAATGCCTTTTTTTCATCCTCTGCTGTGCCT